TATGTATATATATATATATATATATATATATATATATATATATATATATTTATATATATACAGAAAATCATGTGGACATGTTTGGATATACCCCTACTTTAAAAATGAGTATGCACGACGTACACGGGTCCGCACATGCATATCCTCGGTCGAGGACAGCTAACCGAAATAACTCTACGAGTTCAGCAAAAACAAAACCATTCTACAGCAGTATAGTACACTTATAAAGAAAAATCAAGTACTCAAAAACTTCAATTAAACTAAACGCTGTACTTTTAGGTTGGTACACTTCTACACGCAGCACTCAGGTTGATTAACCACTCCGTATAAGCATAACACGCAGCACTCAGGTTAATTAACCACTCCGTATAAGCATAATACGGTAACAACATCGGCCAAACTAGTTGACGCACACAGACATACCAACTCAATACACAACTCTTGAAACACACCTCCTTCTCTCGTTTATTTTTGCGTAGAGCTATGTTGCTCTCACGTCTGCGTTCGCGCATGTGATCGGCATCCTTGCCCTTGTTCTTAACCACACGGGTGGTCTCGGTTGTATTAGGTGATCCGTTCATGTTTGCAGCGCCGAGGATATTTGACATACTATGGCCAAAATTCGTCCTTTTTATTAGTTCTGAGAATCACTCGCAAGACTCCGAACTCGTGTAAAGTGCTCGTTAGCTTCGGCAAGTGACTCTGTGTGTTAGTGTAGCGTGTATGAGTGGAACTTAGTTACTTTACTACGCACAGGTTGCGAGGTATTTGGTGATCTGAATGGGTCCCAGCCGTAGTGATATACATTTTGTACCAAAGTTTCGACCCAAATCCATATCAGTTGGAATTCCATGCGAATCTGCGATTCCCATATGTATTAAAAACGTAAATCTATTTTCGATCGTGCTTGAAACACACCCGAAAATTCCAGGATGGCCAGAAAACAGGGGCATTTACGTACTCAAAACCCGTACGTACTCGAGCCTGAGCTGAGGGACAATTGTATTGGTTAGTCGATTTAATTGGCGGTTTCAATCGAGACCTGCTTAGGGTCCTACTCTCCAGGGTTTTCAAAATCATTTGGTGAACACAGTTCCACACACTGAAGTAAATATAGAACTATTTCTAGAAACCTAAAGACATTCAGTATAAATACATAATTGTATAGAGTGGCGGTTTGTATTTGGCACTACAGCTCTAGTCTGAATATAGGTGACTCAAGACTGCATCGGTATCGTTATACGTTACCAGCATACACCCAGCTATGCACAGCACAAACGCTCTCTTGGAGCGAGCTGGCGCATACGGACGTCAGGCTCGTGAGTGCATGCACTCCGTCCACCAACTAGCAACACACAGCCGGTTGGTTGAATCTTTTGACATCAGGTCAAGGCATACTAGTACATTCCAACACTCAGCTTCAACATATTGGATTGCCTCTAAATTGGTGGAAAATAGAAGCATCGTAGTAAATAAAAGAAAAATGAGCACTGATACCCGGCAAGAATTCGTGGATCGCAAAGCTCCCACACTCGACCTTGCTTCCGCTCTTGAGTCGTACAATACACCAGGTAGGCCTTCTGGAGTGTCAATCGTAGTAAGAACACTTGTAAAAAAATCCGTGTTGTAAAACCTTCTTGTTGTAGCCAGTGTCCCATCGGTTGTGTGTCAATTTGCGCCGTTCTTCTATTTATACTGGCACCAGACAACAGGTCTATGTCTACATATTGGACGCGAGTGTGGTGACGTACAAATATACCCCAAAAATAAAGTATCCAAACGAGCTGACAATTCAATGCATTACACATCTCGACGAATATATACACAATCTTCGATGCCATGCGCAGTACGATTGAATGCACACCTTTGGTCTCATATATGTCCATAAAATCTGACTGTTTCAGGAGCCAAGAACAAACCAGTATATATAACCACGCCTATATTCTACGTCAATTCGGTCCCGCACATTGGCCACGTATATACGGCATACATTACTGACGCTCTTGCCAGGTGGTGGCGATTGGTAGGCGCCGATGTCGTTCTAGCGACGGGTACTGATGAGCACGGACTAAAAATCGCACAGGCTGCTAAAGCGAAGGTAACGCAAACAATATCGGGGGCAACAGAGAGTATTTTGTAGGAGGTGTATATCAATAGATTATTAATTATATTAATACACACAAGAAGATATGAGTATAAAAATATGAGAGAGAGAGATATATATATATATATCCAGTCACAAACACACACACACACCCACCCACTCACACACCCACCCACTCACACACCCACCACTCACACAGCCACCCACCCACCCACACACACACACACACACAACACACACACACACACACACACACACACACACACACACACACACACATATATATATGTATTTATATATATATGTATATAGATATACATATATATAT